TCACCTCGTAGGCGCACCGCATCTCCGAGTAGGACATGCCGCCGATGATGAAGATCAACAGTCGCGGCACGTTCTTGATGTTGAGCGCGTTCTTGTCCTTATGCCAGTGGCCGTACCTCATGCTCGTTGGCGCCGGGCGTCCGAAGTTGGCCGGCGCCGAGTGGCCCGTCAGGTATGGGAAGTGCTTGGCGTCCAACTTGTCGTCGATGGCGTTCTGACGGCGAAGAACAATGCGTTTAATACACGTATTAAAGCGTTCAATAAGACCCTGATATACGAGTCATTAGAATGCAAACTGTGGTAACTCTTGCGGTAAAAACTTTAACAATCAATTGATTCACAGACCATGCAATCCAATCACTCAAATCAAATCAGGTGTTCCGGCGCACAATGGCTACCACCCGGACATACCTCCATCATGTCCTTGACAATGGGCGTCCACCGGGACATCTGGTACGTGTGTTCGGTGATGCGCTCTTTGCGGGGCACCTGATACACCTTCTTGCGCCCGGCATCGGTGGTGATGTTGATGCCCAAGTAGGACATGTTGGTGATGATGGTCTTGTCCTGTGGTGGTATCTGTGCGTGCTGGATCAGTTTGGCTAAGTTCTCCTCCGAGATGCCATTCTTCGAGATGATGTACAACAAGATTATGCGAATCTTGTCGAATATGTTGACCGCTTGGTCCAGAAGAATGGGCACAATGTTGCGCATCGGGTCCTTAATCTTCTCGCCCTCGGCGTCGGTGCCCATCGCCAGGTCCTGCTCCACGCGACACAACTTGTCGGCGTAGCCCTGGGGGTGACCACCGGGTGTGGGAACGGGATGATCAGTGATTAGATATATAAGTCAGTGAACCACCGGGTGGTGATAATGGGATAAAGGGGTAAAGGGGACAGGGATGCCAGCCATACCTGATAGGACTTCATGCAGCTCTCGGCGAGGTGTAGGTGCGTGGCGTACTTCGACAGCTCCTTCTGGTACTGCGGCATCTTCTTGATCATCTGCGACAAGTCCTTCATTGAGGTCTTATCGTTGGTCGACATGCGCTTACTGTCGATGAACTTCTTGAGCTGTTTGGTGACGTTCTGCGAGACGAGTGCGATGTGTTGGTGCCGGAGTTCGGCCCATATTTCGTCGTTCTCGTCGAGTATCACCTCTTTGTCGCGCACTTCGTTCCCAGACGTGGCCTCGAATTTGTAGACATCGTTCTCGATGGGCAACAGGTCGTAGGCCATGGCCTGGAAGGTCAGCTCGTGGAGGAGGGGCG